CGAGTTTTCGGATTAAAATCAGAAATTCGGAGCCACTACATTTAGTAGAATTTAAAGAATATTCATTTATCTTAATATTTATTCTAGTCTAAAAGTGGCAAAACGGGGTCAATAGTAGTTTTAAAGTCGACTAACAATACACTAATAGGGGTGTTTCGGGCCGAGTTTTCGGATTAAAAGCAGAAATTCTGAGATACTACACCTAGTGGAACCTAAAGAATATTCATTTATCGTAATATTTATCCTAGTATAAAAGTGGCAAAACGAGGTTAAAAGTATTTTTGAAATCGACAAAGGTGACTTATAGCTTCTTAACATTAACCTAATAGCGGTGATTTAGGTCGAGTTTTCGGATTAAAAGCAAAAATTCTGAGATACTACACTTAGTAGAACCTAAAGAATATTCATCTATCTTAATATTTATTCTAGTCTGAAAGTGGCAAAACGGGGTTAATAGTAGTTTCATGTCGACAAATGCGATATATAACTTGTGAAAATGAGTTTAATGGGAATATTTCAGGCCGAGTTTTCGGATTAAAAGAAGAAATTCTGAGTTGCTACACCTAGTGGAACCTAAAGAATATTCATTTATCTTAATATTTATTCTAGTTTAAAAGTGGCAAAACGAGGTTAATAGTAGTTTGGTGTCGACAAATGTGATATATAACTTGTGAAAATTAGCTTAATGGGGGTATTTCAGGCCGAGTTTTCGGATTAAAAGCAGAAATTCCGAGATTTTACACCTAGTGGAACCTAAAGAATATTCATTTATCTTAATATTTATCCTAGTTTAAAGGTGGCAAAACGGGGTATATGGTACTTTTGAAGTCGACAAAGGTGACTTATAGCTGCTTAACATTAGCCTAATACGGGTGTTTCAGTTCAAATTTTCGGATTTAAAGCAGAAATTCAGAGCTAATACACTTAGTAGAATCTAAAGAATATTCATTTGTCTTAATATTTATCCAAGTCTAAAAGTGGCAAAACGGGGTTAATGGTACTTTTGATGTCGACAAACATGACTTATAGCTGCTTAACATTAGCCTAATAGGGGTGTTTCAGGTCAAATTTTCGGATTAAAAGCAGAAATTCCGAGATGTTACACCTAGTGGAACCTAAAGAATGTTCATTTATCTTAATATTTATCCTAGTCTAAAAGTGGCAAAACGGGGTTAGTAGTAATTTTGATGTCGACAAACATGACTTATAGTTGCTTAACATTAGACTAATAGGGGTGTTTCAGTTCGAATTTTCGGATTTAAAGCAGAAATTCCGAGCTACTACACTTAGTAGAATCTAAAGAATATTCATTTATCTTAATATTTATCCTAGTCTAAAAGTGGCAAAATTAGGTTAATGGTACTTTTGATGTCGACAAACATGACTTATAGCTGCTTAACATTAGCCTGATAGGGGTGTTTCAGGTCGAATTTTCGGATTAAAAGCAGAAATTCCGAGATACTACACCTAGTGGAACCTAAAGAATATTCATTTATCTTAATATTTATTCTAGTCTAAAAGTGGCAAAACGGGGTTAATAGTAATCTTGATGTCGACAAACACGACTTATAGCTGCTCAACATTAGCCTAATAGGGGTGTTTCAGTTCGAATTTTTGGATTAAAAGCAGAAATTCCGAGCTACTACACTTAGTAGAATCTAAAGAATATTCATTTATCTTAATATTTATCCTAGTCTAAAAGTGGCAAAACGAGGTTAATAGTATTTTTGAAGTCGACAAAGGTGACTTATAGCTGCTTAACATTAGCCTAATAGGGGTGTTTCAGGTCGAATTTTCGGATTAAAAGCAGAAATTCCGAGCCACTACACTTAGTAGAATCTAAAGAATATTCATTTATCTTAATATTTATACTAGTCTAAAAGTGGCAAAACGAGGTTATTAGTATTTTTGAAGTCGACAAAGGTGACTTATAGCTGATTAACATTAATAATAGCGGTGTTTCATGTCGAGTTTTCGGATTAAAAGCAGCAATTCCGAGCCACTACACTTAGTAGAATCTAAAGAATATTCATTTATCTTAATATTTATCCTAGTCTAAAAGTGGCAAAACGGGGTTAATGGTGCTTTTGATGTCGACAAACATGACTTATAGCTGCTTAACATTAGCCTAATAGGGGTGTTTCATGTCGAATTTTCGGATTAAAAGCAGAAACTCCGAGATGTTACACCTAGTGGAACCTAAAGAATGTTCATTTATCTTAATATTTATCCTAGTCTAAAAGTGGCAAAACGGGGTTAGTAGTAATTTTGATGTCGACAAAGGTGACTTATAGCTGCTTAACATTATTCTAATAGGGGTGTTCCAGGTTGAGTTTTCGGATTAAAAGCAGAAATTTCGAGCCACTACATTTAGTAGAATCTAAAGAATATTCATTTATCTTAATATTTATCCTAGTCTAAAAGTGGCAAAACGAGGTTAATAGTATTTTTGAAGTCGACAAAGGTGACTTATAGCTGCTTAACATTAGCCTAATAGGGGTGTTTCAGTTCGAATTTTCGGATTTAAAGCAGAAATTCCGAGCTACTACACTTAGTAGAATCTAAAGAATATTCATTTATCTTAATATTTATCCTAGTCTAAAAGTGGCAAAATTAGGTTAATGGTACTTTTGATGTCGACAAACATGACTTATAGCTGCTTAACATTAGCCTGATAGGGGTGTTTCAGGTCGAATTTTCGGATTAAAAGCAGAAATTCCGAGATACTACACCTAGTGGAACCTAAAGAATATTCATTTATCTTAATATTTATTCTAGTCTAAAAGTGGCAAAACGGGGTTAATAGTAATCTTGATGTCGACAAACACGACTTATAGCTGCTCAACATTAGCCTAATAGGGGTGTTTCAGTTCGAATTTTTGGATTAAA